CAGTGAAGCGTATTTTGTTAGTTATCTTTCTTATTGTTAAGAGATTTCAAAGGAAGGCTTCCCACCATTCTCTATTGCAGAGTTCTGTCCACACCAGGAAGAAGCTCTCACAGTGCCCACCTCATCCACCAGGAGCACAACACATCAAGACACACGGCTCCCCTTGGCATAAGTTACCAACTTCCCAAAGAAGGGAGTGAATCTCAAAATCTCTTCTAGGACATGCTGACAATGTCCAGATTAGATAGGGCTCAGATGCCTTCCCTCTACCAAGGGTGCTGTGCTTTTTGTGAGTGTTTGCCATGGATTTCTTGAAGTGGTGAAGCCCGTGGAACTCCTTTCTCAGAGTGATGTCTTCAAAAGTGTGAAATATAACACACAGGATTTCAAAGAAAACCAAGTACACTGAAATACAGTGATCAAGTGTTTTAAAACTGAATTTGTGAGACAGTAAAATACATTTCCTTAGTAATGCTTTAAATAACAAGATCCAGTAGTAGATTAAAAAAAAATGAAATGTCTAACTGATGAGTGCAGGTATGCTGGGACACCTGCAACAAATGTAATATGGTATGGAAATCCTGTGTTTTCTATTGGTGACAAAGCCACAGGTACAGCTAATACTTGGAAATGTTGACTTTTTTTTTTTTAAAGACAGAGTCTCACTATGTCATCCTTGGTAGAGTGCCATGGTGTCACAGCTCACAGCAACCTGAAACTCTTGGGCTTAAGTGAGTCTGTCTTGCCCCTCAGCCTCCCAAGTAGCTGGGACTATAGGCACCTGCCACAATGCCCAGCTATTTTTTTGTTGCAGTTGTTTAATTGGCCCAATCTGGGTTTGAACCCACCACCCTCGGTGTATGTGGCTGGCGCTGTAACCACTGTGCTACGGGCGCTGAGCAAAAAATGTTGATTTTTAAGTAAAGGTTAGAGAAAATAAAAACATACAAATTTTGTGTATTTAAATTCACAAACTCACTGAACTCTATTTATGGAACCTAGGCTAACAACATTTGCTATTGCAGTCTAAAGCCTCATTGGTTATGAACCGTGCATAAATTCCACCCTTATAAGAAATACCCTTCAGAACTGTATCTAGATTTATGTTATTACTCTTTACAGAAGATTCTAGTACTTCAACAATTATGTGTTGAGCCCCCCAATATGTTCTAGGCTCTGGGACAGGCTCTGAGGAAAGAATGAGAAAGATTTTCAGGTTCTCCCTCATGTAAAAGTTTTTCTTCCCAGGTGGAAAAAAATGCATATTTGCAAGGACACTACTAAACTGCCCTTCTTACTTAAAACCAAAGAAGCTAGTCCTCACACCCAGCATATACCCCTTTAGACTCATTATCCACGAATTGCTAATATCATTCATTAGAGAGCTCTAAAATCACTTAGTCAAAACCCCACCCAACATAGAAAACAACTTTCTCAAATTGAGAGCATAGAGGAAGTCATTCTCGATTGACTGTGTACATTCGACAATATGACATTTAGAAATCAGGCGTGGGGTTAAGATCAGAGGTCTCTCCAGTTAGACAGAGCTAATTTCGAATATCAGCTTTGTTGTTGCCTAAATCTGTGATCTTGGGAAATTACTTAAGCTGTCTAATCTTCAGCTTTCTTATCTGTCAGATAGGGTTTATAATAACAGCAGTTTCGACATCATAGAGCTTTTCTGTCAATTAAATTTACATGTTACGTAAAATCCTTAGCACAGAGCCAGGTATATAATAAAGGTTCAGTTTATGAATTTCACTGTAATTGGAAATTGGTAAAAAGAAATGCCTCCTGTTCTTCTCCAAGTAAAGAAGGTGCTAGCATGTACTTAAACCACCTACACCTACAGCTATTGGTTTTTCTAGTAGCAGCCCAAGGGTTAATCCTGTGAGAGGGTGTGGGTGGCTCCTGTTTAGATAAAGCCACATCCCAGAGCTTCCTTCCAGCCTGGTTTGTTATTGTTAGGGTTTTTTACCACCTCTTTGAAGTTTCATGATTGACAGATGTTATTCAATAATTCCTCCCCAAGAAAGTTTTACATGTAGGTTTTCAAAAAGAAATCACAGGAAATTTAAGGGGAAAGTAGATCTTTGGTTTCTGACATTGAACTGGGGATTTCTAAAATCTGTTTCAGTCAATGCCACACATGAACTTCAGGGGATTTTTGTTTTTGTGTTTCCCTTACCCTCATAAGGAATATAAACGAACAAGACCCTTTTCCTATATGGGCTAGGAATTATAAAATAAAACTATGGTGCTTCATGAACAAGCCATTTGGATGTTCTAATGAATTGGAAACACAACTAAGTAATTCTTTAGTTAATCCTTAAAATTTTCTGATTGCATTTCCTCATATGTGAAAAAACACATTCCCATTTGACCAAGTGAATTCTCTTCAAATTCGGTCAAGTTCTTTTTTATTAACAATGCCTTTAAAAGAGGAAAAAAAAACTTTCTTAGGTCACAAGACTGAACAAAAACAGGCAATAGGTCTTTGAGCCATAGTTTGCCATTTCCTGCTACAGAGTGTAAAAAATCTGAGGAATATTATTCTACATAAGTAATGTGACATTCAACATCTACAACAAACATTTTTTAAGTCCTATAAATTGCCCCATTCTGTGCCAGTTGCTGGGTGTAGCATGGTGATCAGAACAGACCTGGCCATTACCTGACGTCATGAGAGAAGCAATCAATCAGATAACTAAACTGATTTACGACTATAAGACATTTCCTATAGTTACAGACAAGGGTTGGGTAAGGGTTAGGGTTATTTACGCAATTGAAACAAGCAAGTTCTTCAAGCAAACACATTCATTGGATACTTCAGATAACAGAGGTAGAGTGTGAGGGAGGAACACTGTGGTCTGTTGTTGCACTTGAACATGATTTCGCCTGTCCCCTGATTTTGCTCTCTTGCTCTATACTTTGCAGGACAATAGGGACCATGTGTACATCTCCACAAGAGCGTTTTTTCTTTTGCATGACAATCTTTCTGTAATGGTTTTGTCCCACTGCCACTTCTGCCTCTCTTCCTGCCCTTTCTATGTCCCAACCCAAATTTTAGCTCTTTCCCTATATTTTTAAAATGTCTTGATATATCTTTCACCAAATGGCGAAATTTTTTTCTTAATTGCTGAAATTCGAATGTTTTGGGGCTTCTTCTCCAGTTTTAGTGACATCAGGTTGACTTAAGACCTAAGATTTTCATCTAGAACATATATGTATATTTTCAGTAGCATTTTCCATTTCCACTTAGACTTACCTTAAGAACAAGTGGTGAATCATTAAACCTGAACATTCCAGACTGACGTGTATGACCTTTATTCCTCACTGTTTTGTTAAGTGGTGGTATCAAATACCGTGCAGGTTTATGGGTTCCCTGCGAGAGATTATGGTTATCTCATTCCACCTGGACTTCACCTCATCTCCTCCTTTTTCTTTTTTTTCCTGCAACACCTTCAGTAGGTGAAAACTGACAATTGGGTATCTCTGAAATGGACTCTGGCTTCACGTCACCTTCCCAACCTTTTCTTTTCTGTCCCCCTGTGCAGAGTAGTCAGCTTGGGAGAATTGCTGCTTCTCAGATAAATCGTATGTTCTTTCTCCTCAACGGAACATTCTTTCTGCCCTTGATGGACTTTTTCTGTTCTTTAGAGACCAGTTCAGAATCAGCCCTTGTCACTACAACTTTAACATTTCTCTAACCCTCTCCACGCCCCACTGACACATAAGTTGCCCCACACATTTAGCTGCCATCCCAGATGGTATTTGGGTACATGCCCTGACTCCTCCACTGGGTACTCTCTGAGGGCAGTACCATGCCTGTCATAGACACTCAGCAGTGATTTCATGAATGAATCTGGCCTCTGAGCTTGGAGCCTGATTTTCAATGGGTGCCTCTGAGGGCAGGCGAATGACAGTGTGTTAAGTAATAAAAGTCTGTCATTCTTGTCCAATGGAAGCAGCCCAGCACAAGCTCTCATTAAACTATGAATGCCTTTCGCTATCTACTAGCCACTGTACATTTATATTCATGTCTTCTTCCCAAGAAGAAAACTATTTAGCGAGAGCTAGCAAGGCCAGCACATGAACCAAAGTTTGATATACAGGACATTGTACTTAGAAGCTGGTGATAAGGACTCACCGCCATCAACCCACAGGGGCCTGCTTCAGTGTTCCAAGTCCTAACACTAGCTGCACTGCTGTCGTTAACACCTCCGCCTCTGCAGCAATGTTTCCATTATTGCTATTAAATATTTTAGTTCCGTGAAATCACAACTTGTATGTACACTGAAAAGAGGAACTTTGAGTAGATATAAGACAGCTTACTTTGAAAGGGACCCTTTCCACAGACTCCTCTCCCCACCACCCATAGGTCCAGAGCTGAAATTTCAGGGTAGGCTGGATGCCCACCAGAGCAGTACGAGTGGGAGTTTGGAAAAAAGCAAAGACTGTGGCAGAACTGTGGCTGTCTCTGTTTTCATCAGATGCCGTATATGCCAGCTTCCTAAGGGCAGGAGTTGTAATGTTCCTTCTATACACCCAGTCCATCCTGCAATGCCTCGAGCTCAGTTAACACTCAGCAGATACTTTGTCTCTTTATTCAGTGATATTGAGGACCTGCTGTGTGCTAAGTGTGGTTTGCCTGAAAAAGAAAGACATGCTCCCTGCCAGTGTGGAGTTCCCAGTCTGCAGGGGCTGGGGAGAGGAAAAACAGGTACACAACCAATAAGTAGAGTTATACAGTTTAAATTGTGCTGCATTGTTACATAGGAAACGTGTTGGGTATTATGAGAAAATACAAAACAAGACGTTTTTCCAAGTTTTCCTAGGCTTTCCTTAGGGAGCGACATTTAAGTCAAAGATTGGGGGAACAGTAGGAAAGGATGGCCAGAGGCGAGGATGACTGGATAGATGCGTAAGGCATGGACCCATTTCCTGATAGAGTTTACCCGACTGAACACAGCCTTCCTCTCGTTTTGTTTCCCCATCAGACTACAACAACAGCAATCCTGACTTGTTACAAGTCATATTCCAAGTGACAGGTGTGAGCCTTCTGCCACCGCTGGCAATCGCCGTAGCTGTCATCATCATCTTCTACTGCTACCGCGTTAACCGGCAGCAGAAGCTGAGTCCTTCCTGGGAAAGCACCAAGCCACAGAAACTCATGGACTTCAGCGACAACTGTGCCATCATTCTGGAAGATGACCGCTCTGACATCAGCTCCACGTGCGCCAACAACATCAACCACAACACGGAGCTGCTGCCCATCGAGCTGGACACCCTGGTGGGGAAAGGTCGCTTCGCCGAGGTCTACAAAGCCAAGCTGAAGCAGAACACTTCCGAGCAGTTCGAGACGGTGGCAGTCAAGATCTTCCCCTATGAGGAGTACGCCTCCTGGAAGACGGAGAAGGACATCTTCTCAGACATCAACCTGAAGCATGAGAACATCCTCCAGTTCCTGACGGCTGAGGAGAGGAAGACAGAGCTGGGGAAACAGTACTGGCTGATCACCGCCTTCCATGCCAAGGGCAACCTACAGGAGTACCTCATGCGGCACGTGGTCAGCTGGGAGGACCTGCGAAAGCTCGGCAGCTCCCTGGCCCGGGGCATCGCTCACCTCCACAGTGACCACACCCCGTGCGGGCGGCCCAAGATGCCCATCGTGCACAGGGACCTCAAGAGCTCCAACATCCTTGTGAAAAATGACCTGACCTGCTGTCTCTGTGACTTTGGCCTTTCCCTGCGTCTGGACCCTACTCTGTCCGTGGATGACCTGGCTAACAGTGGGCAGGTAAGTTAGAGCTGGTGCTGGATCCCCTTCTTATTACCTCACCTCCTGATCTGTCTCCTGCCTCTTGTCCCAAGTAGCCCTGTCTCCTGGACGCTAGTCTAGGGAATCTGGCCAAAGTACCAAGTCTACCTGGGCAGACTTCACTCTCCCCTGCCTGTGACCTCTGCTAATGGACAGCATTTCTCCTCCTGTCTTCACGTCCTTTCAAACTCAGGAGAGAGATTTTTCTCCCTGAGTCCGTATTCATTTCCATTCCATTTGCAAATGTTTTCCTTTGCTTCAAATACTGCTAGTAATTTCTCTCTAGTTTTTCCTTCTTGTGGTTGTACTCAGCCCTCTCTACTCTATACTATTGGTAGCGATATTAGTCTCTTCATGCCACTCCAGCGGGTGATCTCCCTGAAGTCCAAATCTCCATGTGGTCACCTGAGATAGAGGGCATCGTACCTTGAAGCGTGAAAGTGACCCAGTGGTATTTGTCGAGTGAACGAGTGAGCAATCCCATTTGTGGAGCAATCTCACAGATTAAAATGGAAACTTTTTTGGCTGAGAACTTTTGCAACATGATTGGACATACCAGACAGCTTTATAAATGATAGACCTTGCGTTTTCACACAACGTCCTCCATCCAGGGCACCATTGTTTTCTCTAGCCAGGTGGCAGGGCGTGCCTCTGAAGTGTTTGGACACCCCCCTGTGTCCATGGCAGTGCCTGCAGTGTTGAGGTAAACACATTGAAACACAGGGAGACGGAGGTGCCAGAGTAATGAGTCATGTAAATGACCTGTTAAAAAGAAAAATTTCTTCTGGTACATGCCAGTAAGAAGCATTCCTTGGGAATGTTTCTGCTGTACCATTTGTGCTGTACCTTTCTATGCAGTTCCCATTATTTGGCTTTTCTTAGACCTTTGGGAAGGTAGGACTTTATTGTTATTTAGTTGATTTGTATATACTGGAATATCAAATATTTAAGTGATCCATTCCCTAGAAATACATATCTATTTTTTCCTTTGTCCTATAGATCCCATGTTTTTGTGTTATCAGTCACAGAGATTAGTACAGGCCTACAAGCCAAAATAATCCTGTATGGCACACCCATCAACATTATAAAGTGGTCCAGGTTTGGTTTTTTTTTTTTTAACTGTGGAAATACTTTCCTACAATGTAATCTTGTAGAGATTTTATGAAATCGTACTACATCCTTGACACAATGGAGTGTGCCTTGGAGTAAACAAAGATTAAGATTCAGTCCTTAATGGATCAAAACTGATGACATTTATTATTTTTAGCAGAAGTCTTCGAGTTTCAGGAATGAAAAAGTAATTAATTAGTAAAAGCAAAAATAAACATCTGAAATATCACAAATATTGTCTCCCAGGTTATCTCTAGGGATGTTATTGAAAAATGTGATAACACATGTCTTGGAGCTTAGATAAGGTGACTCTGGGGTTGGTACTTCCTTATTTTGGGCATGCTTTAATTATAGTCTTTAGAGGGCTTTCAGGGAGAGAACATGTATTTTTTTTTTTTTAATAACCATGTACGCTGTACCTTTCTGTGCAGTTCCCTTTATTTAAAAAAGGATTGTGATTTTCCAGGAGATCACCTACACCTGCAGGAACAAGCGTCAGCTATATTGTGTAAGCAAAAATGGAGCTGGAATTAAATGATGGGCCTCACTGTTTATCTTTGCTCTAGGTGGGAACTGCAAGATACATGGCTCCAGAAGTCCTAGAGTCCAGAATGAATTTGGAGAATGTTGAGTCCTTCAAGCAGACCGATGTGTACTCCATGGCTCTGGTGCTCTGGGAAATGACATCTCGCTGTAACGCAGTGGGAGGTAGGTATAGGCCGCCATTGTGGTTTACTGGTGAACTCATCCTCCAAATAATATCGTGTTATTTGCCTCAAGTATGATTCTAGGGGTCACAAAGCAGTTAACTCCACAGTAAGAGCTTTTTGAAATCTGTTACTATACCTGTACAATCATTCTAGAATTATTTGGGATTATGCTAAAAAGCCTAGGATTTTTAAGCTGAAAACTACATTTGGAGCATAAAGCTTTGTATTTCCTTTCACAACGTTTTATATAATTATTCTTCTCTTGACACATCTCTTCAAAGATATTTAAATGTCTGGCAAGAGATGAACACTACTGATGTTTATAGGAATTATCTCTATTTATCAACTGGATAATATTCTTCAGATAAGCATCTGACTTTTGTTTTTGTATTTTAAGGTTTTTACAAATTATAAACTCTGGGAAAGGGATTTGATTCAAAATTTACTTGTATGGACTTTCTTTTGTTGGAACAAACAAGCAGAATGGTTTGATGTCTTTGTTTAGGTCCCAGCTAGTACCTTGAAAAAGCTGGTACAGAGGTAAATGAGGAAGGCCGTCCTCTCACTGGTTAAGTTTCCATGACTGACTGGGAGACTTGCTCTTCTCCTGCTTTTTCTCTGCAAACCAAAGATGGTCATCTGTTTGCTCTTTTCTCCCCAAGTTCAGCCACCTACTTTATTTTTCTGTTTTCAAGTTATTTCTCCCTGAAAACATTAGTGGGTCTTCTCAGATTCCCTCTGCTATATCTTCTCTGCAAGTTGCACATGGCGTCCTTTTCATTATTAGAGGCTCACTGTTACAGGCTATTACTACTACTGACCGAGAGAATACAGTATAGATAAGGATTGGCAACACCTGGGGTGCAGGAGCGAGGCTCTTGGTCTACAGAGTATTGTTCCCTGCTTGTCCAGGAGGTTTAGAATGGCTGAGGTCTATAGTACTTGCCCTTCTTTGACACTTTCATCAGTAGTTTCCCTCTGGGTCTTAGAAATGCACGCATCCCAACTTGGTCCTAGCGGGCTGATAAATGAAGCCATGTTAACCCCAATTCCATTTTTAACTTTTTGTTTTGCAACAATTTTATGTAAATTTATAGAAATGTTGCAAAAAATAGTACAGAGAGTTCCCTTATACTCTTAACCCAGCTTCCTCTAGGGTTAACAGCCAACCTCAACCTTAGGGCAGCTATCAAAAATGGGAAATTCACATTGGTACAATGCTCTTAGTTAATCTATAGACTTTGTCTGCACTTCCAAATCCCTAATAATATCCTTTTCTAGAATCAGATCTTTTCTAACATCCCACATTGACATAATGTGTGTATCTCTTTAGTCTCCTTAACCTTGTGACAGTCCCTCACTCTGTTTTTCATTTATGACCTTGACACTTGTCAAAGTTTAGGACAGTTGTTTTATAGACTGTCTTTCAGTTTGGGTTTCCCTGATGTTTTCTCATGCTTAGGTTGAGATTATGTATTTTGAGCAAGAATACCACACAAATGATGGTGTCCCCTTCTCAATGGGTGGAATCAGGGGACACAAGATGTTACTTGTGTTACTTGATTACTGATGTTAAATTTGGTCATTCCATTACAATGGGATCAGCCAGGTTTCTTCCCTATAAAGACACTATTTGTCCGTATGTAATTAATGTAATACATGTCTTTGATCTGTTTCTAAAAATACCGAACACCTCCTTAGTAAAGGTCAGGGCTTTTTGTAATTTTACCCACTAATTCAAAGATCCATCAATAATTCTTTGCCTATAACAATTATTAATGAAATGTTGACTTAATGAGGATTTTCTATTTTTCTTACATATATATTAAATAGGCATTTATATTTAAATGCCTATTACATTCAATAGGCATTTTACTGTAAGGAATATCTGTCCCTTCTCTCACAAACCTTTGTTATTTATTTATTAAGTATTTAGGTCACTGTGGAATTTTGAAAATTTATCTTATTCTCTGGGTATCTGATATTGTCGCTGTTGATGCTGTCGCTCAAATTCCGACAGCTTTAGTTATGGGACCAAACTGCCCAGAGTTTTGAACAAGGCAGATTTAGCCGGCAGCATGGCTGCCTCTGATTTTTCAACCCGTCCAGAGCCTGTTTAGCCAACTCTCTGCGGTAGGTCCAGCTCACTTCCTCCCAGCCTGCACCTTGCTGAACCATCACTTCTTTTCCTGGGCCCCTTTATGTGGATGGCGCTTCTTATCTGGCTGACTCTGTTATTTCCTGGCTTCCTGCCTGAGATTTCTTCCCTCATAACACTTCCAAAAGTAACTTTGTTTTTCCTTGCATAGTGAAATTTGTTTAACCAAGTTTCAGCCACCGAGAATAATTTTCTGCTTCAAAGCTTTGACAGTTCCAAAATGAATCTTTAGACGGGTATGAGTTGTGTCAGAAACAATGCTGTTGTCACTGTCAGAATAAATTTACCTCGATTTCAGTCTCTTCTCCTATCCTTTCAAACTTGTTATTCTGTAAACATGAGCTGGAGATTGCATCTCTGTCTTTCCATCTGTCAGAGCAGCCAGCTTATTAAGGCCCTAGGTGAGCTCCCTGCTTTCATTGTTATCAGTGACTAAAGCCCTTTCCTGTTGATATTTGCTGAGTACGGAAGAATTTAGGCTAATGGGGAAGAACCAAGTTCACCAACTTTTATGAGGTCTAAAAACGGATGCAGTGTCAACAAGGTTTCCCAAGGCAGGAACAGGCTCTGGTTTGTTCAGCTAGTCTCAAAAAAATCTTTCATAACCTTTAGGATAAGAACAGATGGCTCTGGGGAGACCGGAAAGAGGCCATCCTGGTTCTCATTTTGTTTGATCATAAGCCCGCAATGCTGTTTCTTCCATCCCCACTCAGGCTGCAAACACCCATATCACTTATTCATCCTCACTTCACACAAAGCCCTTCACTTGGCTAAGTGGGTGAGGTCTACACAGTAAGCTTCTTCTCTTCTCTTCTTTTAAATGCATCCATGTTGTTGTTTTTTGTTTCTTTTGGGTATGTCTCAAAAATCTTAAAGACAGACTTTTTACCCCTAGTCTGAGAGACTCTTCTTACACATTCAGGAAGTCCTTTGGAAAGGACAAGAAGCCTAGAGGCAGGTGCGTCTCCTCCAAGTGCGTCTGCCTTTGTGTTGTCCTCCGTTCAGTGTGAGAGACACACAGAAGGAAGGACAGGTCTTGACCTGAAGGAGCTTTTTGTCAACTAGAAATCGATGCTTGATTTTTCTTCTTTTTTTAAAAAAAAAAAATGTATACAGGCAAGTATGTTTCTAACCTTACAGATAAATGAGATAACATATCCCTTTAGTTGGGATTAGAATTTAATTTATGAAGTTTAAGGAAGAGGAGGGATGTTGACGTTTTTTCCTTAAGTTTAAACATCTTTTCTGTGATTTGAAATACGCAGTTTTTATTACACTTAGTGCTTTGTACTAGCAGTCTCATTTCAAAAAAGGGAGTGTGGAATGTGCTTACCCGAGGAGGAGGAATTACGCAGATCAGTATTTTATGTCACAACTGTGTGGACAGTGAAGAGAAGCAGAGGTCAGGGTCATTTCTGTATGTTCTGGCTCTGTGTGGGCTTACAGGGTCGTGGCTCAGGGGTACTTCTGTTCCCTGGAAGGCCTATGATTTGGTGCACTGAGCCACCTGCCAAGCACCTCGACTTACTCAGGAGGGGTCCTCTCTGCTGTGTGCAGGAAGATGTCTGGATCTAGGTCTCTAGGGATGATGTGGCTGATCTATGTGACAACTGTAGAGGATCTGGCCCTGGAAGGAGGGTGGCTGTGGGTGCTTGCATTTCTTAGGGTGCCTGTCATTGGTACTATGGAGACAGTAGCCCATCCTATAGTAAAGGGGTCCATAATTGTATCGATGCTTTTCTTTTAAGCTCTGAAACATTGACCTCTATCTGTTATCAGTTGTTAATAAGCTGCTGCAGAAGTGACTATTTGTTTTATTTTCTTGGATGTCAGCATTACATTACTCCCTACTTGAAAAAAAATGTTCTAAGTAGCACATGCGCTAACTCAGGGGTCCTCAAACTTTTTAAACAGGGGGCCAGTTCACTGTCCCCCAGACTGTTGGAGGGCCAGACTACGGGCCCTGGGACAAGTCAGCTGGTAAGCAGGACAGGCAGCAATGGCAAAAACACCTAGTGGGCCGGGTAAATGTCCTAGGCGGGCTGGATGTGGCTCGTAGGCTATAGTTTGAGGATGCCTGCTCTAACTGAATGAAGTAGGATACCAAACATTAAGGGAAAGAAGATTTCATGGAAGAATGTGAAAACCCACCTCTCCTAACTATGAGTGACTCCATTCGGTCCTTACGGTTGAGTCTAAACTCTTCTCATGGGTGTCATGGCCCAGCTCTAGGCTCATCTCAACACCGTTTTCTTGTTCTCCAGTCATCACTGTGAATGTCTCCTAGGTCTCACCTCTGGGCTTTGTGTTATGCTCTTTACTGGCTCTGACATAGACTTTTTAAACAGGCAAGTGAAATTCAAGTCTGATAAATGTCTCAGCAAGGGAAGGCAGTGGGCACAGGGGACTGAATAGTGAGATCCTCTGAAAGGGGATGAAGTGCTAGGGTCAGGGAAGAGGGGTTAAGTCAGCTCTTGAAGGAAAAGTCAGACTCAGGGCTATCCTTGTGAGTTACCTCTTTATGAGCTGGCCTCTCTAGTATGCAAGGTAGCAAGGGGAAACAGGGCAACACAGCACATACTGGAGATGCTTCAGCGGAGAAGATGTAAACACATGACAATGGCGCCCTTCTGAAGCCTAGTAGCACAGCTTCATTTAGCATAAAATTCCACTAAGGAGCTCACAAGGTGGGTTGCAATAGGTGAAGAGAGTGGCCAAAAGAGAAAAGCTTCCTATTAGAAGTAGGTTTGGTCCAAGTGAAGAAAGCCACAAAAGAATTATAACCATCACTGCTTCATAGATGAATTCATTTAATGTGCTAAGAACTCTTTGAAGTGTGT